CCCACCCACACAGGAGCGGGAGGCCCTGTTTGAGTGGACAGCGCCCTACAGCCTCCCTGCCCTGCCCCTCGTCGGGCCTGGGGCGCGTGGCTCTGCCGCGGAGCGGACACCGCTGGGGTCGGTGGCCAGCGGCGGTGCGGCCCGCCTGCGTGGCAGGGCCGCGCAGTACGCTGAGGTGGCGCGGCGCCTGAACCGGGCGCGCGCCGCGGGGGAGGAGTTCCCCCTCGCGGCCGAGCTGGGGGCAGCGTGCCAGGCCGAACCTGGCGGTGAGATTCTGTGGAGGGAGTCTCCCGAGGGGAGTTTCCTGCCCAAAGTAGGCCGAACGCTTCAGAACAGGCAGTTGATCGTGCACTCCACCACCTCAACGCACGCAGGCACGGAGCGACGCACCAGCATGGCACGCGTCTGGAAGGTCCTGGGCAGCCTCCTCCCGGCGGCGCAGGTTGAGAAGGGGGGTGGGGGGGAGTTGCTGCCCTCGTGCTCACCCAAATGCCTGCCAGCTGACCATGCATGGCGCAGGGTGGCTGAGAGGCTGCTGTGTGCTGCCTTGAACCCCGCGTGGGGCTGACCAGCCCTTCGCTGCCCCTCCATCCACCGCGCAGGGGGTCCCGGTAACAGCCCCCTCCCGCCGAGCGGACGCCTTGGTCCAGGCGGCCAGGCGCTGCCTGGAGGAGGAATTCGAGGCGCACATGCAGCTCACAATCCGGAATCACAGGAGCAAGGTGGGCGCGGTGGGTGCGTGGTTGTGCGTTGCGCAGCTGAGAGGCAGCTGGCCGGGCAGCAGAGAGGCAGCTGGCCGGGCAGCAGCTCGGCGTGTGCATGCTTCATGGCAGCTTTTCGGACATTGCAGGGAGGTTTTTTGGGGGGGGGAGGGGGGGGGGATTGCTGCTGCAGCGGCCCCATGCCGCACCTTGCCGCCGCCGGGCGCCATGTTACTGGCCGACCCGTCCTTTCCCTCGTCGCCTGCAGGCTGCCCTGGGCGCCTCGCCCTCCAAACTGGCGCTGATCAACGCCTACCTGCGAGTCAGCCTGGGCAGTCGGGAGCAGCTGGATTTTGATGAGCCTGGGGGCATGGACACCACGTGGCACCGCATCTACACGGCCTTACGTGCCGGCCTGACGGCCGAGGCGCAGCAGGCAAGGGCTAGGCATAGGGGCCGCCGGTGTTGGCGGGTGGTGAACCCTGATTCCAGGGTCAGCATGTTTCATGCCACGCAGCATGTGATCTTTCGCCTGTCCATGACATGCAATGCTGGGGGGGGGGGCAATCTCCAGACTACGGCACCAGCACATCATTGCCCCTGGCCCTGCCCCATCCCTCCTCCTGGGCGGCATGTGGGGCGCAGCACCAGCCCCAGCAAACGCCATGGGTGTGCCTGCGGCTTCTCACAGGCAACACTCCCCCTCTCTCAATCCTGCCAGGTGGCGGCAACTTCCCGCACACTGGCCGGCTCTCGGTCCACGGCCTCCGCCTTCCCCGCCGCGCTCAAGGAGTGGGTGGAGGGCGGGCGCCGCCCCCTCACGGTGCGTGCAGGCAGCTGTACCAAGGGTCGGGGGCTGGGGGCTCCATGCGACGCAGGCTCCGCAGTTCAAGGGAGCGGGCAGAAGGGACTGTGACGATTACTGTCCCTTCTCTACCGTCGTATGCCCAGCGTGCATCCACCTGTCCCCAATCTCAAAACCCGCTCCAGGGAGCGACGGGTTCGTCCATCACCTCCGAGGCGGAGCGCCTGCTGCGTGACCGCGGCCTGCGCGCCCGGGGAGGGTCCTCCTTCGGGCACAGGCTGGCGTGCTATGCCCTGCTCTCCGGGCACGCCCCTGCCGCCGACGTGCTGGGCCAGGTGGGGTTGCTGGGGTGTGGCACGGCATGGTTGCCAGGTGAACAGCCTGACCGACACATCGAGTCGCCCAACACAGGCGCTCATTCTGCACGTGGGTGGGTGCAGCCTCCGCATGGCCTCGTGCTGGCCTACCGGGCCATGCATGGCATCGATTGCGAGGAGTCCCCGAGCTCCTTCTTGCTTCTCTCGATCATCACTGCGTCCTTTCACCGCAGATCTCCCCGCCGGTGCTGCCGACCATCGAGGACTTCCTGTGGCTGCGCCTGGGTTTGGTCGTGGTGGGAGGTTCCAGCCAGAGCCTGGGGTCAGGTGGGGGGCGAGGATGTGTTGCCGGGGGGGACGCCCTGATGGTGGGGAGATGCTGCGGGTGTGTCGGCCCGTGTCAGGCGGCGCAAGCCCGCCCATCGATGGGTGGTCGAGGACGGGGCGATCTCCTCACGCTCCCCTCTAAACCCCCCTCTGACCTCCAGGCTCGCAGCAGGGGGAGGTGTACGGCCTGCGGGACCTACAGCAGTACCTGCAGCAGTACCCCTCCTCCCACTACTCGCACGCCGGGCGCGAGCCGCTGCAGTACGTCCTGGTCCTGGTGCTGACCCAGCAGTGGACCGAGGCGGCGGCGTACCTGGCCCAGGACCCGGCGGCGCGCGACCTGCGTGTCGACGCCGTCTACTTCTGCGTGGCGCTGACGCAGGTGGGGCTGCTGCGCGACGGCGCCGAGGACGCCACGCTGGCCGAGGGCGCCGTGCTGGCGGGGCGGCTGGTGCACCGCTACGCCCGCGAGTTCCTGCCCGTGGACGCGGAGGTGAGGAGGGTGTTCATGGGGACGGGAGTGTGGTTGTAGCTGTGTCTCGGGACAGAGGGGAGCGAGGTGGGGGGGGGGTAAGGGGGCAGGGCAGTGGCATGGCAGGGGTTGCGGGCCTGGCCTGGCAGTGCATGGGTCAGAATGGTGGTTGGGGGAGCGCGGGGGGGGAGCCGCTGGGCGCAGTGAGGATCGAGCAGGATCAGCACAGGCCGGCCGGTCCATGTGCCGGGAGCGACCGCCTTGTGGTCGGCCTGGCAAGGTGACTTGCTTGGCATCCCCATCGCCGCTCCCCTTCCGCGCGCACAGCTGGCGCTGGAGCACTACATGCTGGCCGCCGATGCCATGGGCGGGTCGCTGGAGGTGCGTGGCCGCCTGCTGCGCGAGCTCCTGGTCGAGTCTCGCGCGTTTGGTGAGTGGGGTTGGGGGCTGGTTTCATTCCTGGGTGTGTGTGAGGAGACATGGGTGGAGCCCAGGCATGTGTGGATCCAGGGCCCACGTGAAAAGGCAGCGCGCCCTGCCAGGGCGCAGCATGGGCCGCCCGCCACGCCTGGGCTCCCCGCTCGCGAGCCTCATGGAGGGTGCCGGGCACGTGCGCACGCCACCACGCCTGTGTCGTCGGCGTGACCTGCCCCTGGGACCCCTGTACCCCCAGCGCTTGACCCTGCTTTTCTTGCGAACCCCCCTCCTCCCCCCCTCCCACAGGCCTGCTGCTCGGCTCGGGGGGCGGCGGCACGGGAACCGGCGCCCTCGCCGCGTTCTTCCCGGACGCCGCGGCGCGCGGCGCGGTGCTCGAGGCAGTCGCGGACCAGTGCGCCGCCAATGGCCAGGCGCGCGGGTGGCGGGCGGGGCCGGGCGTGACTCGGCGACGCTCATGACGAGCGCCCATGGGGTTCCCGGGGTCGCATGGCGATGTCCCAAGGCCGGGGGGTCTGGCGCGGCGTGGGCGAGGAGGTCCTGCGAGACATGCACAGGGTGCGGTGCTCCGTTCCGGATGCCAGCACGCCCCGCCATCCCACCCACCCGCTTTCCACCCCGCCCCAAACCACCCTCCTGCTCCAGGCGGAGGAGGCGGTGGAGCTGTACATGTTCTGCGGGCGCTTCGCGGCGGCCCTGGACGTGCTGTGCCGGCGCGTGTCGGACGCCGCGGCCCGCACCGGCGACGCGGCTGCGGACGGCGAGCTGGAGGTGCTGGTGGCACGCGGCAACGCGGCGGCGGCGGCGCTGGGGTCTGGCGTCGACGCGGGGTCGGCGCTGGGCGGCGCCGCGCTGGAGGCTTGGGAGCAGGTCAAGGCGGCGGCCGACGCGCTGCGCGCGGCGCGCGCCGGGGACGGCTCGCGCGTGCTCCAGCGCCTGAACGAGCTGGCCTTCCTGCCCACCGACGCGTGGCGCGTGGGGCCCTGCACGGCGCGCGCGGCGGGCCTGCACCCCGCCCTCGCCGCGCGCCTGCCCGCGCTGGTGGCCGCGGCCGCCGACGCGCTGGCCGCGGCGGGGCGCGCGCCCGCGCTGGCGGCGCTCACCGCCTACGCCTCGGCCCTGGCGCCGCGCTTCTCGCAGGCCGACTTCCGGCACCTCAGCCTGCTTGCGGCGGGGCTGGAGTGAGCATACTGTGTGTGTGTGTGGGGGGGGGGGGGGGGGTTACTCCTGGGGGGCTTGCCCGCCGGCTGCCTCCCCTTCGCGCCCCCCCCTGCTGTCGTGCTCGTGGGTTGTAATGGCGATACAGGGAACCCCGGGGTCGAAGCGCGACTCCCGACATCGCCCCAGCACAGCCTGGGGAACGGATGATTTGCACCGCGCCGGGGCGTGCTCGCGATCTTTCCTGCAGTGTCACGAGGCTGT